CATTTGTCTTCAGCAATTGTGTCGGGAAGGTGTGCATCATAGACTGCCAATTTAATAGAACAAAGTGTTCTTGCATCGATTAAGTACTTGAGTGGAGGTCCAATGTCCATCTGCTGCCTTAATATTAAACCTATAAATATATGCACATAGATCTATTTCCCCACCATCCTTTACATATTTACATATGTACATGTCTGTATTTAGACCTCTGTACCCTTTGTCTCCTAGTTCTTTCATCTATTTCCTTTTACTTTCCTCCTGGTCCCACTATCATGCTCAGCCTTCATTTGGGTTTCAGTAATTTCTCTTGGTTACATTGCCCTTACCAGGCCTCTCACACCCTCCTTACCACCAAGTTTGGATCACTTGTTGCTCCCTTGTCCCTGGGTTGGTCAACACCACCTCCTTACTCCAGTCTCCCCCTCGCCCATGTATATTTGATATTTCTTCTGGGATTTCTCACAAGCACCTCAATGGTGTGGAGTGGAATTTGCAATCTTCTTGCCACACCCCTAGTTCTCCCTGAGGATTCCACCTTAGGGGATGGTACCAGCATCATGGAGGGCATCTGTTGTCCCCGCCCAAAGCTGTCTCCTTTGTCCACTGTTGCATTCTTTGCACCTGACTAAACTGTATATACTTTTATGAAAACTGTATTGCCAGTCACTAGTCTTCTTTAGAGACAATGACATGTACCAGGGTCTATCCAAAGCCCAACCAAACTGTTCATGCCTTTACCCCCGAGGCGACTGATTTCCACCATGCCAAAGCTACCACCACACACTCAGTTGAATGCCTTCTAGAATTCCCATCATTACTGGGCATCAACATGCAGTTAAATGAATGGATTGATTATAATTTTCTCTGCTCTACCAAATTTCTACTTCTCATACTGTGTCTCCTGAATGTGTCACTGCTGGAAAGTGAACATTAACTGTGTATTCAGGGCTTTTAATGCCAAATTTGAGTAAAATGTTGATATCTTAATCGGAAAGATTTCTTTGAGCTCTATGAAGCATTTTTTAAAGCAAATTGTGTCAGCAGACTGAAATTACATGCAAAATTATCGCAACCACTCACATATGATAGGATGATAGGCAGCCACACTTTGCAGTAATGAAGCTTTCAAAATGTAGGAGATGAAGCTGAATAATATCAACCTCTGGTCTAATTATCTCCAATACAAATCTCTCCTCGTGGCTAACGGCTTAAAATTCAAACCATTAGGAAATATGAGATTTCAGGTAACAACAGATACCGTTACAACTACCCCGATTGCACAAACGGAGCAGTTTCCATATATCTTCCACTATTTGAGGAGCCTATTGAATACTTAACGTGGTAAGAGATGCATTATTCCTGGGGTTCTTTTTATTATTTTACTCGTTTCCATAGTAGAAGCAGGGAAGCAATATTTGGAGAGGTTGAAAAGGCTTCTTACAGTCGGAGTTTCCCCTGCTACGACCACATTAATTAAACAGTTGGTTAACTTCATCAGCTGGAAGTAGAGCACTAATTGTTCAGCCATCACATCTTAAAGGTAAACAATATTAAGTCGTACGGCTGCTGCTGTGATTTTATTCTTTGCAGTTCTGATTTTTACTATCCCACAGGATTCTGAAAAGTAATGAAATCTCTGTGTGGATTAGAACCCAGTAAATAATCCTTAAATTCTAAAAATAAAAATCCAATCTGTTCACTCAAGTAGCTTCAAAGTTCTAACAATTTTTTCAGGTATCAGAAAAATGGGAAGATCCTTTTTGTTTTCAGCAGATTTATTGGCATATAATTCACATATCATACAATTCAATAGTTCAATCACATCAAGAAGAGCCATGCAATCATCATCACAATAGCTTTAGAACATTTCCTTCCATCTTGTACATGTCGGTGTCAGCTCCCCACTTTTCCCCAACCTCCCCTGCCATACCCAGACCAGTGAGCCACTTACTATTGCTATAGATTTCTCTAGCCTGGGTTTTATATAAAAACATTCAAAAACAAACAGAATAACAAAGTAAAACAGAGTAAAGCATCAATCAAAACGAAAGTGGAAAATATTAAAAACTAGAATAAATTTGAGTGGCTCATAAGGGAGATCAAACAAATGATAGGGTGCTAAATTTTAACTTAACTGCATCGGCAACTACCCACTTTCTCATGCAAATTGCATGATAGCAAGGCTCTTCACATCCTTGGTCTATGGTCATGTGTAAATTCCTTCCAAGTTGGTGGAACAAATTGCACCAGCAATAAAGCGTTCTCAGGGACTAAAAATGAGTTAAAAGTAAGAGAGTACTGTCTCTGTGTTTGGGGTAAGCCAGTATATGAAGATAAGTCAATAAATATTGGTATGCAACTGGGGCTCTAGAAGCTCATGAAGGATCTAAGGTGCATTACTGGTCTCTCCCTATACAGAGGATAGTGATGAAAATCTAAGCTGCATGAAAACAATGAGTCCAGTGAACTAATGTACTAGTCTCCACAACCCCGACGGCAAAACAACTAGACGGTACCCAACTACCACTAGCAACTCTCTAAAAGGGATCACATTAGAAGCTCCTGGTGAGACTGGGAGAAAAATATGGAGCGAAATTTAAAGGATATATTTTTAAATGCGTTATCACTCTCTCATTTGAACCCAGTTTGGTGACTTCCTTCTCCCACTGCCTTGAATCACTCTTATAGGTGACAGTGAAGATGGAGACTGTAATTTAAGCTCTTCTCTAACACAATTATGTGGCCCACTAGCAAGCATAACCCTCCAAATTAGATTCCCTCTTGTAATTGGAGAGCTAGGTCTTCCAATCGGAGATTTCATTTGCAGGGGACCCTTGTTAAAATGCTAATACCCATATTAAGCTGTTAAGTCGTTGTTTAAATGTATTAATTAAATTAGGGAGTCACTTAGCAAGCCACTAGAAAGCAAATTACCAATCAGGAAAGGTCTGCCGGTCCAGTTTGAGGCTGAGTAAATCTGGTTACAAGGTAGGGAAGCCAAACTTAGGGCTGGTAGCCAGTGGTATTGGATAGGAACTTTGCTGGGCAGGGAAGATCTGAACAGCAGAGCTGTCTGTCAGAGGTGGATGGAATGTGACTTATAAGAAAACTTCCCTTCTGTTCATCAGCCTTATTCTCCTACTTGATAATCTTCCCCACAAATAAACTAGTTTCTTCCTTTAAATGTAAGGAACTAGAAAGCAGCCTGACCAAGCCTAACACAATAGACTGTTATAGCAAAGATGCCTCTTTATAGTAAACTCTGCAGGGTTAAAAACTATGCCAGTTGGCATTGCTCTTCCTTGAATCAGCTACTCAAACTGCTTTCTAGTGTCATGGTATAGGTCTCAGTACAAAGGTAACCTACACCTGAGTCCACACTGCACGTAGCTTCTCCTTCCCGACTACTCCAAACATCCTGGGAAACGCAAAGCTTCCTATTCACTGAGGAACAGGTGATGTTAAGTGTGAGGACATGCTATCACTCGTACTGTGAACGTCATACTCTGGGCGAGAAACATTTCCCATGGCCTTATCCAGACAAAAGGCAACGGAATTCAGAAGCTCTTTCTCTTTGTTGTTTCCTTCTCGTTGTGAGTCGTACAGGCTGACCCATAGCAACCACATATATAACGGAATCAAATGCTGCCCAGCCCTGCACCATTCTCACAATCTTCTCACAATCATTGGTAGGTTTGAGCCCAAGGTTTCAGCTAGTTCCTCATTTTATACTATTACTATA